CAGGAAAAAAGTGGTGGCTTGCTGGAAGGCCATTGTGGAAAGTCAGTATTCCTGAACAGCCACAGGATGGCATCGTCTCTTCACGCTAGTGCAGGAGAAACTTCCCTGTATCCAGCTGTCCCCTGCGGAAAGAGCGTTTGGGGGTTAACCAGTCTGTGCTCCAGCGTGAGTGGCTGAGACTGCTCTGATAATGCAGTTTGTTTGCCTTAAGGAACTGGCTGTTCTGGTTTCAAGGCTCAGGCTGGTCGGGGTAGTCCCATAAAAATGTCATAGCCTCTTACTACCCTTGTTTTGCTGCAATACTCAGCCTTAGTAACGTGATGCCATGGGGCCAAAACATTCCTGAGACCTCTGCCTTGCTCTGAGATCACTTGACTTGTATATACCGGTTTGCAACACACTCAGGGGCAGAATTTGAACCCCAGAGGGTTCCTCCTTGCCTTTGTGTCTCCCTGTTGATGTGGTGTGTCCTGGTCCTGGCTCCCACCAGCCAGGACCCAGCTGCTGAGACACATCTGGGGTGCTGCTGCAGGGGACCCAGTGAAATGCTGATGTGGGGGAAGAGGTGGTGGATTCTTCACCTACCTCCCCACATTTACCCGGGGGAGGAGGGAGAGTCATGCCTCTTCCCAAAGATCCTGCACTTCTGTATGGTGTGACTTGGAGAGAAGTCTGAAGTGTCTTACTGCAGTGGGCACTTGCTTGGAAAGCAGTGGTGTTACTTTTGGTCACTGCTCTATGCTTTGTTGGCTGAACAAATAGCAGAACAGTCGGTGATGATCCAGTTCTTCCCTCATAGAGGGATTTAATGTGTCTGTGGTGCTAATTTGTGCTTCCCCTCAGTCTCTGGACTGTTCCAGGATGCTCAACTTCACCTCAACCCCTGCCTGTTTCTAACCTAGGACCTAGGAACTGTCCTTTCCTTCTGCAGTCCAGGTGACCCTAGAACACCCGGCCCTGAATCCAGTGTCTGGCATCTGGAGAGAAGCAAGATGTGCACTGCTCCTTCCTTCCCCCAAAAATTGTGCCTCTGCCCTTTCCAGCTGCTGATTGCTGTGGTCCTGAACACCACCTACACCAGTCTCTGGGTGCAGAGCCTCAGCCCTGTGGGCAAGGTGCAGCTTGGTGCCTCATGCAGGTGAGAAGCAGATGTTTATTTTTTCACTCTCATGGAGACAGAGCTCAGCGGTGCAGGATTTGGAAAAGACACTGCCCTGCAGAGCTGCCTGCCTGGTTCTGTGACTTGCCCAGTGCAGACAGCAAGCTGCAGACACCGTGAAATACTTGTCTGATCAAAACCAACTGGGGTTAACTAGTCCATGCTGCTGATTGTCTGCAAGGAAAAAATACCAAACCCTTCTGCAGCCCACCTCCTGCAGTGCAAACACAGCTTTTCTTCTTCCCACCACTTTGTGCCCTTGGGTAGAGGAGCTTGGCTGTGTTCATTAACAAGGCAAGGCCATTAAACTTGATTGGGTTAAGCTGTTTCTTTAAGGAAATGTCTCCAAGCTGCACAGCTGGCTGCAGGCAGAGACTGCACAGCCTCTGCCTGCTGAGCTCTCCTGCCTCTTATCTAGGGCCAGGACACTGATACAAGAAAGATCTCCAAGGGAAAATAAACACATGACTGAGAGACAGAGATACAGTGTTTGTTTGCAGTTCGAGAGTTGTTTATTTTTGGTTTTAAAAAAATTGCACAGAATTTGTTTGGTTTTCTTGGGTTTTTACCCCCCTGTTGCATGGACTTGTTTAGGAAAACTGAAGGTTGATACTGAAATGCAGCTGTGGGAGGCAGGGCAGAGGTGTCTGAGAGTGGGGACTGTGCAGTGGAGTTTCTGTACCATCTCTGCCACTTCAGAAGTGTGGGTGCTGTGGGGCTGCTGCTGCCCTGCTGGTGGGTGACAGGTTCTGGTGCACCTCGGGCTGCTCTTCTGCTTTTTCCTCCAGAAACAGCTGGTTCAGTGCATAGTTTGGTTCAAACAGCAGCCCCCAAGTAAGTCATCCCCTGTGCTTTATGGGGTGTGGAGGCTCGGACCATTCCCTGGTTGGATGGATCAGGGCACAGTGGTATCCTGCTCCCTCCCTGCCAGCCCTGGGGTGGTCTCAATGATTTTGGGGAGCCCTTGAAATTCAGACCTGGCTCTGAACTCCCCAAAGCAGGATCTGGATGTGTGTGTGATGCAATGCTCACATTTTCTTGGCAGTTCTCTGCTTCTTGTAGGAATTGGTTGCCCTTGCCTGAAGCATTACTTGCTATCCCTTCGGAGAAGGACCTTCCTGCAGGGAGCCCTGTAAATCCCAGCAACTTCATACCAGGTAGGCTGTACTCTGCTGGTGCTGGCTGCCTCCATGCCTCTGCTTGTTGGGGTAAGCCTCTGGCCTCCCATCGTGTTTCCCTTTACTCTGATTTTTTTGATTCCTCCAGGCAGCACCACCCTGCCTCCAGGGCTGCTCCTGCCTCTGGATCCCACAGGAGCACCTGCATGGGCAGCTTCCCTGCCCACAGGAGGAGGCTGCTTTGGCCACCCAGGAGGGCTGGAAAAAGTACCTGGTTAGGGGAAAGGAGGGAGGGAAGAAAGAATAATACAAGTGCAGTGCTAGTTCTCTGGAATCCTGGTTGGACTGGGGACACAGACCAGAGCTATTCCTGCCTGTTTCTCTCTAGGATTACATGTGGCAAATCCTATTTTTTCAATGCCATTTTATGTTGCTTCCTGTTTTGGAGAAGGGAGTCACTTACTTCAATGGTAGCAAAGCAAGCTAGAAAATAAGGCACATATGGGGTCAATTCCAAGGACTGTGTGAGGAGGAGCCTGGTCTCCAGCACAGCCACACACAGCCAAACCCTGTGACGTGATGTGACCATTTTAGTCTTGTCTCTGTCAGACAAAACAGGCTGTGCTGGGATGAGGTGGCACAAGCAGCTGCTTCC